ATGATTTGGATATTAGATATTATATCCTTGATTTAGATGTATGATTTGAATATTATTAGCATGGACTTATGCTATAAATAGGCATGTATTCATATTCTAACAGGCTGCCATACGGTTAGGCCATACGGCCAGGCCAGAAAGCATTGACCCCTAACCCCCAAAATCAAAATACTATATCAATGTCGATGTAAAGTTGTCATTTGATTTTTGCGTAATTGTATTTGACATTAAATAGTATTATATTTGAATAATTTACTTAACAAATGTTATTGTATTTGTATTATAAGATACTAATAAACATATTTTTATCTTTTTCTCTTGCTTTAATTATAATACGTATTGGTCAGTAAAAATGTGTATAAATGAATTGTATATGTAATTATATATTTATAATTTAGGTAAAAGACAATGATGATTTAATATTAATATATAATTATTTTTACTAAAAAATAAAAAAAATATATATTTTTGAATAAGATAAACGAAAATAATAAAAATGATATTTTGCGTTCGACATGACAGAAAGAACATTAATTTTTCTTTTCTTTTTTGGTCTATTAATCTTGCACAAAATTTATTTAACAAATTTTTTATTTCCTTATAATTTTATTATTCATAGTTTAATAAAATTTAATTTAATCCTTATTTATTTTTATATTTACTACTTTTTTTTCATCAATTTTTATAATATTTTATTACTTATTCACTTTAATCTTAAAATATTAATATTTTTAATTGATTTTCCGTGTTCAAACAATCTCACCTTAATTTTACAATGAAAAAAATTATTTCATTATGTGTACTTGTTTTTTAGTATTATTATTTCATATTACTATTTTTTGTTCCCACACACTTAGGGTTCATATCGTCATATACGTTTTACACCTCATATTATTTTTTTTCAAAAAAAAAACAAAATTACACAAATCATATCTTAAATTTCTAAATTTATAATTATTTAATTTTAATGAAATTAATTAATTTTCAATATTAATTCATAATTATTTATATTTACAGTAATTACTTTTACTATTATTTATTTATTTATTTATTTATTACTTATAATTTTGTTTAAATTTTCATATCTCCAATAATTATAACGCAGTATAAGAGAGTGAGTATTTTAGAAACATAACAAATTATATCTTTCTATATTTGGTAAATTATATTAATTTTATATATATTTAACAAATTTAAATTAATTTAATTAACTTCACAATATATATTATTATACTCACTTAGACAGACATTCAAAACTTCTTTATTTCTATATCTATTCTCAAGAAACAAATATTTTTTATATATATTTAAACTTCTGAATAGTTTATAAAATTATTTTATGTTAATCATAAATAAATAAAATCATAAATAAATAAAAAATTATTTATTTATTTATATGATATAAAATTTTATTTTTTACAAAATAATATTCCTATTACATATCTTTTTTATTGAGATATAAATTATAAAATATTTAAATACATATTCTATTTTTTTTATCATAAATATTATTTTTATAAAATTAAAATAATATTATAAATTATTATTAACGAATTAAACCTCTATAACTTTTAAAAGTTGTGTTTCTAATAATAATAATAAAAAAAACATTTAAAATGGTACATTGAGAGTATTTAATAGTATTATTTTTTATTTAAAATAATAAATTTTTAATCCTTATTTTACTCCCAAAAAATAATATTTACAAAAAAAAGTTACTTTTACGGTGTTTGACTGGGGGATTGGATTTTAAATACATTATTCATCCAATTTTTTTTCTTCAAAAACATCAAATCAAACACCTATTTTTTATTTTTTTATATACTAAAAATTAATTTTATATTCAAAATATCACATTAACACCTATTTATATCGCATCATACAACTATTAAATTCAAAATTTTTACTATTTTAAAAGCATGCGTACTATTTTTTTTTTGTTTATTTTTATTATAAGAGACTGTTTAATCTATTTATGTTAATTAGGCAGCTGATAAACATCATATAGAAAGGAAACCTTTTCAAATAGACCTCAAACATGTTGCTCTCTTCGTCTTACATAATATGGGTGTATTACCGTAGACACAAGAATTTAGGTAAAATATAATTAATAAGTAATTAAGAAGTGTATTAGTAAAAATAATTATAGATTAAGATTAAGATAAGTAAATAGTTTAATTAAAATTAAGAAAATTATAAAATTTAAAATGCGATTAAAGTGCATAAGTATATTTTCAAAAATAGAAAGGACACGTTATGTGGGACGAACGAAAATAGAAAATAGGGACAAATTATGTGGGACTGACGGAGTAATATTTTTGTTCTTGGATTTATAATTAACTTTCAAAGAACTATAGTGTGTTTTTAGTTTAGCTCTTGTTTTTCTATTTAAACAATAATTTGCTTGCAAAATATAATTTATAGTTGAAATTTTAATTTTATGGTTGAACAAAAAAAAAAAAGAAAGATATATTACATGATTGTAAATTAATTATTGTATAATACAGTCAATCTAAAAAATTAAGGGTGTGTTTCTTTAAGCCGGGTGACTTTTAAAATATGTTTGAATTTTTGTATTTTTTTTTGTGTTTGAATTTGGTTTTGATTTGGAGAGTTTTGATATATATTTGATGGATAATAATATAATAATGTAAAAAATGTCTATTAGATTTAATTGATAAACTTTACAGTATTATGATTTGATTATGAATTTATATTATATTCAATGTATATATATTTAAATTTTTATTTATTTGTATTTTAAAATATTTTATTCTCTACAAAATGACATATATATTATATACTCCATTCGTCTACTTACAAAATTTACATTTATTTTTGGCGCGATGTTTAAGAAATAATAGTATTTTAATTATAGTGAGTAATTAAAAGTAGTGTAATGTCATTTTTGCCCTTACTTTTTTTTGTGTAAAAGTAATGATGTGATGTAAAGTAAGGGTATTTGTGGAAAAAAGTAGGGTATTTAATGAAATGTTAACTTTGTAATTGGACGTTCCAAAATAGAAATATGTAAACAGTGTAAGTTGACGGAGGGAGTATATTTTTTTTATCCTATAATTATTATAAATATTAAATAAACTATTATTTATATATTTTAAATTTAAAAAAAAACACACAATAGATTACATACCATGTCCACGTTGTCGTTTTTGTCCGTCTCATATATCATGTCATTTTCTTTTTTTGGAAAATGATTACACACTTTAATTTTAATTTAAATTTTTAAATTTTATTTTTTTAAAATTTTAATTCAACTAATTAATTATCTTAATCTTAATTTATAATTATTTATATTATAAAATAATTATTTTTACTAATATATTTTTAATTATCTATTAACTACGCCAATTCGGAGGTAGCATTTAATTTGATGCCTTAGCAATGCTTTATGTAATGAAGTTGTATTTAAACACAATTTATTTGTGTTACAATTTTTAACGTGAGAGTCCAATTACTCCCTCCGTCCCACATAATTTGTCCCTATTTTCTATTTTCGTTCGTCCCACATAATTTGTTCTTTCTATTTTTTTGGAAATATAATTATGCACTTTAATCGCATTTTAAATTTTAAATTTTATAAATTTCTTAATTTTAATATAACTATTTATTTATTTTAATCTTAATCTATAATTATTTTTACTAAATAATAATTATTTTTACTAATACACTTCTTAATTACTTACTAATTATACTTTACCTAAATTCTCATGTCTACAGTAATACGCCCACATTATATGGGACGGAGGGAGTATTATATTTAGCTCTCCAAGTGATATAATTTGTTTTGTCACTTTGTTGAATTTTCAATCATAGATTTTGAAAATTCCAAATTTATATATATATATATATATTTTTTCATGGAATGAATAATTAACGGATACTTCAACGGTTAATTTATTAGAAAAATAAATGTTAGCCTGATACTAATTTTGATACAAATTGATAACAAACAAATCTAAAATGTGTTACAAATAATTATACCCCTTTCATCTGTCTACTCATTTGTCCATTTTGTCATTCTAATGTGTTACTAAAAATATTCTTTTGTCTATTTCTTTTTAGAAGATTAGTCGAAACTAAAACTTAAAAATACCTTAAGATGTCAACTCTACTTGAGCTCTTTGTCTTAGTTAGGGCTGACAAAAATTAACCCGACCTGATAATCTGATCCGAACTTGACCTGAAATAGTTGGGTTTGAATTGAGATTTTCGACCCAATTAATAATTGGGTCAAATTCATTTAACTCATTTAATTAAATGGATCAGGTTAAGGTCTACATTTTCGCCCTGAAATTAATCCGTCTAACCTGTTTAATTAATATTATTTTAAATTTAAATATATTTTTTTTAATTTTATCAATACAATACCAATTTTATAAAAATAAACAATAAAAAATAAAGGATTGTGTTATGTACTATTACGTAGTGTTTGTTAATTCAATTCTTGAATATCGGTTTTATAATATGAATAAATAATTTTTTGCTTTAATATTTATATATATTATACATTTAAAAATTTTGTTAGTATAAATTGTAGTTTTAAATTAAAATTTAAAATTTTTAGATTTAAACGGGTTATATAAGTCATATTTAGGTTGACCCGATTAATAAAAGGTCAGATTAAGATTGCAAATATCAATCCATTTAATTAAATGGGTTAAGTTCAGATCAAAAGTTTTGTAACCCGTTTAAGCTAACCCGAACCTGAACCCGACTTGATCCGTTTGCCAACCCTAGTCTTAGTGTCTTATAATTTTAATAATAGAATAATATTTATAAAAGAATTTATAAAATATAAAAATATTTTTTTAAGGTAAATACAATCACTCAAAAAATATACCTAGGGAGTAAAGGGAGTATATGATATTTAAAAATGTATTATAATTAATACGAAAATAACTAGCCTTCATTATTATTATTATTTTCACATTATGTGTGTTTCGTTTTATTAGTTTACTATTTGAATTTGAGAAAGTAAATTAAATTACTAGTTTTGTTCGTACGCTGTAAGCCCTAAACCCTAACGCCTCCCGCCGCCGGCCGGCCGCCGCGACGATTTTGGCCTAATCATTCCTGCTCCAGCAACCATGTCAGCCAAATGGCGTGCGATACAGCACCGCCACCGCTATACTTACAGCGCCGTCGTGTTCCCGCCGGAGTTTATTCTGGCACTCAATCAAGCGCCTCATGCCTCTCCTTTCTTTGATGAATTGAAGCGCCTAATCTCACTCAGCTCCACTTATGCGCAGCTAGAACACGCCAAGAAAGTTGCCGCAGAGTTTTCGAAGTTACTCTCCGACCCGACCTCTGATGAGAAATTGATTTCTAGCGCTGTCAGATTTTATTTAGAAATCCTTCTTCTAGAAAACTCGTTACCTTTGCATAGGACTCTAGCGTCGGTCTTGGCAAAGTGCAAGAACTTTCGGAGTTTAATTGAGCAATGTTTCCGGCAGCTGTGCGAGGAGTATGGCGGCGGCGAGAGCGGGAGAAATGGGAAAAAGAGATTCTGCGTTTCACGGGCTGCGCTGTCGATGATGAGCACACCTAAATTAGGATATTTAGTACAAGTTGTCGAACAGTGCGCGGTTCTGGTGGCTTTGGATGTGGTTCTAGGGCTGCACAGCGTTGTTACTGAAACAAATGAGTTGTCAAGGCCTTCCCCCATTGTTATGGAGCAATGCCAGGAAGCACTATCATGTTTGTATTACTTGCTTCAACGCTTCCCCGACCAGTTTTCTAATGCAGGAGCCAAACATCACGAGTTGGGTTTGATTGATGGAAGTGTCTTGGAAATGGCTTTCTCAAATATTTTGATAATTCTGAGGTCGCAGGGATTTTCAAGGGACTGTTTTGTGGCAGCTGGTGTGAGTTTCTTTGCTGCCTTGCAGGTGTGTTTGTCTCCGGATGAACTTGGTTTGTTTATAATGGAAGGCTTTTTTCATCAGACAAATGTTGCTCATTCTACTATTGAACTTAATGCTGTTTTAGGTAAAGCTATGCCGTATAAGGGTGATTTGGTTGGCGAAATTTCTAAATGTTCAGCATTGAGTAGGCTTTGTTTGATCAGAGGAATCCTGACGGCAGTTTCAAGAACTGTTCTTAATAACCTTTTTGTTTTGAGTAATGATTCACTGAGTGGCTGTACAGATGTTAGAGATGGTGATTGCTCGGTGAAGACCATTCTCTATGATGCTATATTGCCTGAGTTATGTAGCTTTGCTGAAAACCCTACTGATAGTCATTCTAATTTTCATGCATTAACTGTGATGCAAATATGCCTGCAGCAGATAAAAACATTGCTACACAGTGATACTGATGGAGTTTTGGATGGTTATGATCCTATCCCTGAGGAGATGGGAGGAAGGATATTAAAGATTGTATGGAATAACTTGGAAGATCCTTTAAGTCAAACTGTTAAACAAGTACACCTTATCTTTGACTTATATTTAGATATCTTGTCTAGCCTCCCGTGGGCGGAGGGTAGTGAAACTACAAAGTTGTTCTTGAGGAAGATTGCTTCTGATCTTCTTTGTCTGGGGCCACGTTGCAAAGGAAGATATGTTCCTTTAGCTTCAGTTACAAGGAGGTTAGGGGCTAAGGCAGTACTAAACATGAATCCTGACCTGGTGTTTGAAACGGCAAATGCATACATTGATGATGATGTGTGCTGTGCTGCTACTACATTTTTGAAGTGTTTCTTGGAGTGTTTGAGAGATGAGTATTGGAGTAGTGATGGTGTTAACAATGGATATACAAAATACAGAAGTCATTGCTTACCTCCATTTCTGCATGGACTTGCTTGTGGTGTGGCAAAGCTACGCTCCAACTTGAGCACTTATGCGTTGCCTGTGTTACTAGAACTAGATGTAGACTGTATATTTAATATGCTTGCATTAATTGGGACAGAGTGGGATGATGGTCCATTGTTTGATTATACTGAAATCAGTTCTTCCTGTCTGGATCTCCAACTGGAACAACAAATTTCTGTTTTGATATCTTTACTGAAGGTTTCACGTGTACTTGCATTGATGGAAGGAGACATTGAGTTGTATGAAAATGAAATTTCACCCATGTCATCCAAAGGAGCAGTGCTTGATGTGGAAGATTGCAATTTTCAGTGTGTTGTTAATATAAAGAATACCAGTGTTAAAGTTCCTGTGAAGTGGCTTATATTAGCTTTGACCCACTTGGATGAGTCTCTCCGTATGGATGCAGCTGAAACTCTATTTTTGAACCCCAAGACTGCTCATCTTCCTTCTTCGTTGGAACTTATTTTGATGAGACAAGCCATTCCACTAAACATGAGATGTTCTTCTAGTGCTTTTCAAATGAAGTGGAATAGTCTGTTCAGAAAGTTCTTTTCTCGGGTTCGAACCGCATTGGAGAGGCAACTGAAGCAGGGCACATGGAATCCTCATGCTTCTGGAGATGTGAATGGACTCTGCATAGATACAGGAGCTGAAAATCCAATAAAACTCAGGGCCAAGAATCTCTTCAATTTCACAAAATGGTTGAGCTGTTTCTTATTTTTTTCCTGTTACCCTTCTGCTCCATATGAGAGAAAGATAATGGCTATGGATCTCCTATTAGTAATGCTAAATGTTTGGCCTCTGGGAAATGAGGATGCACTGAATCCTTACAGCAAAAGTTTTACTTCACCCAATTCAACTTTGCAGCTAGTTGGATCGATTGTGGATAGTTGGGATCGACTGAGAGTGAGTTCATTTCGTATTTTACTTAATTTTCCAACCCTTCTTCCTGGGTTCGCTGGTCCAGACTTGGTCAGGGAGGCAATTATTTGGGCGAAAAAGCTAGTCTGCAGTCCCCGTGTCCGAGAAAGTGATGCTGGAGCTCTAACCCTTCGGCTTTTTTTTAGGAAGTATGTCGAAGAACTAGGTTGGATTGTTGAACCATCAAGCAATGTCGTTTCTTTAGCTTCAGCGGCCAACCTTCCAAATGGGTCTGGTCGAAATGGCAAGTCAAACTCTCCTGTTGTGAGTTATGTGATATCACTTATTGATTGGTTGCTTTCTTCTGTAGAAGATGCTGAAAAGAATCTTTTAGAAGCATGCAAGAATAGTTTTGTGCATGGCATATTGCTCACACTCCGATATACATTCGAAGAACTTGATTGGGATTCTAATGTGTTTTTGGATAGCTTTGCTGACATGAAGCATGCACTAGAAAGGCTCTTGGAATTAGTCATGCGAATTACATCCTTGGCCCTTTGGGTAGTCTCTGCTGATGCATGGCACATACCTGAAGATATGGAAGAAATGGTGGATGAGGAGTCATTTCTTTTGGAAAGTCCAGATGAGATTGATTCATCTGGCCAGAAATTGCAGAGCTCAGATGAAGATAAAAATGGTGCGGATGAGATCAGGTCATCTGAACAGATTGTTATGGTTGGGTGTTGGCTTGCCATGAAAGAGGTATAATTCTATCCGCTATTTTGTTGAAACCTTTGTGTGGGGTTTTAGTGTCCTATCTTGGTTAACCTGTGGTATTGGCTCTTCATTCTTGTAATTCTCAAAGAAAGATATTGCAATTTGTCTTGCAAATCCTCAGAAGAATTTAGTACTTACTTATCTTTCTTCCATATCCAGTTGAGCCTTCTACTGGGAACCTTAACCAGAAAAGTTCCTTTGCCTACTTCTGGTGATTTGAAGAACACGGTGAACACCACAACTGATGAATATCTTCCAGTATCCGATGGGATGCTTAATCTTAAGCAACTCGAGACAATAGGCAACCATTTTCTAGAAGTCCTTGTCAAGATGAAACATAATGGTGCAATCGACAAGACAAGGGCTGGGTTCACTGCACTTTGCAACCGATTGCTTTGCTCGGATGATTCAAGGTATTGTTTGCAATGCATCTATTTTTTTGTGTTGACAAGGCAATAGCCAGTAGTCACACTAGCCATAGTGTGTAAATGATTTTTTCCTAATTATTGGAAGTTTTGAATTTCCATGTGTTGGTACTACCATTTCATTTACAGGCTATGTAAGTTGACTGAATCTTGGATGGAGAAACTGATGGAAAGAACTGTGGCCAAGGGACAGACAGTGGATGATCTGTTGAGAAGAAGTGCTGGCATTCCTGCTGCATTTATTGCATTTTTTCTTTCAGAGCCAGAGGGAACACCGAAGAGACTACTCCCAAAGGCATTATACTGGCTAATTGATGTAATTAAGGAGTCTTTAGCTAATCAACACAATGCAATGTGCGATACCAATAACATATGCAGATCAAAGTCAAGCCAGGAAACCAGTTGTACCCCTCTTCCTGGTACAAATAGTGAATTGTCAAAGTTTCGGGATGAAGGTGTTGTACCTACTGTGCATGCTTTCAATGTGCTTAGGGCAGCTTTTAATGATACAAACCTAGCCACTGATACCTCAGGCTTCTGTGCTGAGGCTTTGATATTGGCTGTACGCTCATTCTCTTCTCCGTACTGGGAGGTTCGTAACAGTGCTTGCCTGGCATATACTGCTTTGGTACGGCGCATGGTTGGATTTCTTAACATACAGAAAAGAGAATCTGCAAGGCGAGCTATAACTGGCCTTGAATTTTTTCACCGGTGAGTTTTGTCTGTCAAATTCAGGAACTGTATATGATCCTTTTTTACCCTTTCGCATTTCTCAACAAAGAAATAGGGGAGAATTTTCATTATTCTGCATGTTTTAACCATGAATATACTGACTCATCTCTCTTTTCTATGCCTGAAGGTACCCTGCATTGCACCCATTTTTGTTCAACGAACTGCAAGTGGCTACTGCATTGCTTTTGAATGGATCATCGGAACAGTTGAAGTCTAATTCCAACCTGATAAATGTTGTCCATCCCAGCTTATGTCCAATGTTGATATTATTGTCACGTCTTAAACCCTCACCTCTTTCAAGCGAAACTGGAGACCCTTTGGACCCTTTCCTCTTTATGCCTTTCATCAGGAGGTGTGCTGTCCAGAGAAATTTTCGGATTCGTGTGCTTGCATCTGGAGCTTTGGTGGGTCTGGTTTCCAATGAAAAACTGCAAGAGGTTATGCTCAATATCGCCTCAGAGTTACCATGTGAAGAAATCCATAACAGAACTTCGGATTCATCAACTACCTCAGACTCAGCAAACAATATGCCCTTTTCTTTCAATGCAATTCATGGAATGTTGCTACAGCTGAACGCTCTTGTCGACATCAATTGCAGAAACCTGGCTGACTCCTCTAAACAGGATAAAGTTCTCCACAAACTTGGTGAAATCTTAGCAGCCCGCCAATGGATTGGAAGACCACAATGGTGTCCCTGCCCCATCTTGAATAGCTCCATGCTAAAAGTTCTCGATAATATGCTCAGCATTGCAAGATCCTGCCAAGGGCAACAAAGTGCTGGTGTCATATGGAGCCTCCTCTGGGAGTTATCCTCAGAATGCCTTGATTTAGAACATGCTTCTGGCTGGTCATATTTTGATCCGACTATTCAAGAGCTTCGTAAGCAGGCTGCCACATCCTATTTCAATTGTGTTTTGCAAACATCAAAAGATGCAGCAGAGGATGTTGTTCTAGCACGTAGGCTTTTCTCTTTGCCTTCTCCTTCATCAAGAATAGTTGGAGTGGAGGTTGCCTTCACTGGGTTCCAAGAGAGATTGATCCGCTCCATGTCTGATGCATCATATGAAGTAAGGATTGCTACACTAAAGTGGCTTTATTTGTTCTTGAAGGGGAAAGAGTTGTCTGGCGACTGCTATGAGGATCCATTCTATTGTGAGGCTATGAACATATTGTTGGCCAATATCAATCTTCAAGACACACTGACAAAGCTTATGGCTTCTGAGAAACACCACAAATGCATGCGTTACCTTGTCAAAATCCTCTACATTTGGAACTCACTTGAATTTCAAGGTGAGAGCCAACCAAGTTCAGGACCGAGATATATTTGGAGTATGGACTGGGTGTTTGTATTCCATTTATGGAAGCAGTTGGTTTCCCTGCTTGCGATCACAAGGCATGCAAAGACTCGAGAATCACTCATCTGCATCTTGGGGATATGCATCAAGCAAATTTCAAACTTATATCTGAGCTCTATTTCTGAAATGGGTAAATCAACCGGGCCAATCCAAGTAGATCAAAGTAGTTCATTTTCTGATTTCTATGATTCGTTGAGTTACTTTGTGAAACTCATTGAACGAAAAAGTGATGCATCAGAGCCAGTAAACATGCGAAAGGCAGCTGCGGAATCTTTGGTTGCCTCTGGTCTGCTGGCCCATGCAGATGTTCTCGGTCCCTTAGTTTCCAGCTACCCAGTTTCTGATAGAAATATTCTTTCAAGTTTAAAGTCAGAAGAGTCCATTGGACTGTTTGCGCATAAGGTACTTGATCTATGGGTGACATGTATAAAGCTTCTTGAAGATGAAGATGTGGGCATCAGGAAGAGACTTGCTTTAGACGTCCAGAAGCATTTCCTATCTATAATAACAAATCAAAACAGTGGTCCTTCTGTGTCTTCCTGCCAAGTTGAGAAAGTGATTGAATCATGTTTCAAATATTTGTCGAGTGTGTTTGGTGCGTGGCTCGATTATCTGGATTATCTGTGTGGCTGGGTCATGAATACTGCCAACAATGCGAACTACACTGTGTCAGGCGACCTTGTCAGACGTGTTTTTGACAAGGAGATTGATAACTATCATGAAGAGAAGCTGTTGATATGTCAGATTTGCTGCTCACAGATAGAAGATGTTCAGATTTCAAAACCCAAGGCAAGGGATCTTTTATACAAATGGAGAAGCAGGTTTTTCGAACAGTTGATGCGTTTCATCCACGAGCATATGGGGAAAGGGGAGAGTGCCGACTGGATTGGCGGAGTTTGCAATCACAAGGATGCATTTCTACCTTTGTATGCAAATTTGCTTGCATTTTGTGCCCTGTCTAACTGCATCTTGAAGATGGAACCAGAGAGTAGCTATCAGATGATGATGGAAGTGTCTGCCCTTGAGGACGCTATTCGCCCCTTCCTCGGCAACCCCTTGATCTCCAACTTGTATGCCATAGTCATCAACTCTTTGGGTGAAAGTGCTGCTAATCTAAGCCAGAAGTGGAAAGACAGCAATTCCATTTGGGTCGAATTCAATCCTTATTTTCTACTAAAGTGAAGACAATTATTGTTGTACCATGATATACATACTTGTCATTAACGTAACCTCCAATCAGGTATGTCTGCTGCATCTCAAGATTCTTAGAAATTGATTTTGTATTTGATTTTTTTGCCTTTTTTCCATGCTTTGTGAAAGATGTCGCTGATGCGTCCATTTACGTGCATATATTGTTACATTGAACTGTAATCTGTTTAATATTATATTTAATAGTATTTAATCCTGATTCTACATACACAATTTAGAATTGGCAGATAAAGAATTTTGGGAGATATTGAGAACTTTGTACTTTGTATTGGTTTTATATAATATCTTGAATTTATTTCATAATGGTGTTGTTTAGAGATTAGTAAATCTATTGAACCACTTAATCAAATCTCTGAATCACATACAAAAAATGTCAGACCATATAAAATGAATTATATATTGAACCATATAACATATTAGTACTAATATTGAATTATAGTGTAAAAACGTTTTGAATCATGTTGTGTATATAGATTTGTTGAACCACGCGCAGAATGTGTGTTGAATATTGTAGTTTTTTAGCATCAAGTTCAACTTGCTTTTATATTTTCATTTTCTTTTTTCTTTTTTGTAATATTTTACCATGATCATTGTTGTGATTTTCAGGTGAAGGTCGTGTATTTTCACTTTCCTTTTCAATTTCAATTGCTTGTATGGCTATTTGGTGATTGATTTAGAGAATTCTGTCATATTATTGACTTACAAATACTAACAAGCATTAGAAAAAAATGTGATTTTATTTCAATGAGATGGACATGACAGAATAAATATATATTAACAGCTCGAGGGAAAGCCCCTAGCCACAGTTCTTCATCTTTTCATATATATATAGGAGGAAGAAGTCCATATTGAAGCTTTCCCTCTGTCTATTTATTTTCTTCAATTGCTGTCCCATTTAAGAAATCCTGCAACCGATTTGAATGCAATAGCATTAACAAAATTATATATATGATTTGCAGTAGAAAAATATATAATAGCACTGTACTTACTGGCTGCAGTCAATATTGGGACTGATGGAAACCCCGACAGAAACTCCACACTTTGAGGCGAGGCTGGAGGCTACATCGGGCTGCACGTTGAAGGTGGCCGCAGCAGCCTTCATGCAACGGCAGGCCTCCTGTCTGTCCTGCGGGGACCGAAGGCCGCCGGAAAGGGTCTTCACCCCATTGCAGCATGTGGCGGTGGGGTTGCCGCCGGCTGTGATGTATGAGAGGCAGGGTGCGAGTTGAGCCTGGACGTCGCCACACGACACAGCGTCAGCTGGCGCCGTTGTAAGACAGAACACGACCAGGACGGCCAAGAACACTCCCTTCATTGGTATAGATTGATGTGGTTTGTTGTTACAGCGGTGACTGTAATTTGAGGATGTGAGGAGAAGTTGGTTGGGAGTGTGACATTTATAGAGGTGCAAAATGGAAACTAAGAAAGGGAGTGACATCATAAGCGGTTAGGGTTATTAATATGATGATGATGAGGAAGAAGGAGGGAGAATTGGGAAATGATAGGAATCGGTTAGCCGATAGTAGTATTGTATTTAATTTTTTTGGCGGTTGTTACTGTGCGAATAATGACAAACAACGACATAGTACATACAAAGGACAGCTCATGATTTGGATCAATATATATTATATGGGTGATCACTATATTTGATATATTATATATATAGCATATGCTGATTCGGCCATTTATAATAATATAATACTATAAGCATAGCATATATAGCATATGCTGATTCGGCCATTTATAATAATATAATACTATAAGCATAGCAAAGTTTATAGCCTTCCAAATGCGACAAATACTATTATTGAAAAATAAACAGTATTTTGATATTTATATATGAATTTACTTATATTAAAAAGGAAATTATAAAAATAGTAATAAGAAAATAAAAAATAAATGATTAATTTCTATCTACCAACTTTATCAATTTATTTATTTATTAATAAATATGACACATGATTATGGAAGTGGTAGGATTAGGAGAGTGATTGGTATATTAGCTTTTTCAAATATCTTATTGTATCCAAAATTTAATTTTTGAAACAATGTATATTTTAATGTCTTAGAATAGATGTTTTGTTTTTTATTTTGTCGTTAAAATAATTCATCCTTTTAACATATTAATATATTTTTCATTGCAATATTTAATTATTTTTAATATATTTTCTTTTAATAAACTATAAATTTACTTTATAAAATTAAATTAATTAAAATTATATAAAAAATTGTTCTATTTGTAAAATTTTTATATTTGTTTAAATAAAGACAATAAAAAATATTAATATTATTAATTTATTTATATATACTATATATTTTTGTCATAATCTTTTTAATATTGACAGATATATTGAATAAATTTAGTTAAAATTTTAAATTAATAAAAATACATATACAAATTATTTATTTTTAAAAATTTTATACTATTTCTAATATATATATATTTATATATTTTTATTAAAAATATATTAATTTTCTCACGTAAACAAATATTTTAATAGAACTTTCATAATCTTAATAAGTAATTAAAAAAAAAATTCAAAACATTATAAGCATAGAAAGAATGGTTTAAATAGCTAATATTAAACTGTTATTTTATCAAAACACTTTAATACAAACATCTAATATTGTTAAAACCATGATACACTTATCTGGGCCTTACATTTGGTCTCACATTGGGCTGGACCCATTATACTCTATATATATCTATATATATATATATATATATATATATACCTTTAGCCTTAATAAGGCAGAATAAGAAATCATCACCATCACTCACGCCTCCATCTTTCTTCACTCACGGGAATGCACTGTGCACACCATCCCCATTTTCAATCTTCCTCCATACACCTACTTCACACACAGAGCATGTAATACACTCCATCTTCCCATTGTTTCACTGCTATCTCGTACACTTTCCTCACTTGTGCACGATCTTTTTGCACGCGATTAATTGAATCGCTTCATGTCGTTTTCGCCTTCGTTCGCTCTCAAATCTATTTCCGCATCGATTTTTCTTCATCTCATTTGCGTTTAATTTCTCACTTACATCTATTATTGTGTTACTTCTTTCATATCTTTTCCCTCCGCAGGTTACAAGGTTGATTTGGTGACTTTCTGTGATTGAATCTAAGGTTTGGTGTACCAGACTTTTTGGAAAGCAGCTAAAGTGATGATTGTCTCTTGGAATGAATTAAATCTGGTTGTATTGTTATCTTTTACATCATTTGATTATTTGTTGGCTTGTGATTAGCTGTGAACTAGTTTGTATGTTCCTGTGAGAACACAGCTGCTTTATGTGTTGATTGTGTTGATCTTTGATCTGGTCCTTTGCGACCGTAGCGAGTACATACTGTTTTTATCTCGCTGTCTGTGTACACCGTTGTGCTCTTAATCAATAAGATTAGAGTGTACGTGTTCCTCACTCTTGTTCACAATTCATGGATTAGATTACTTTTTTGTTATTTTAACAAATATATTCAACTAGTGAAACCAGCTAATAGAATCAAATAAGAGACTCTTGATTTAGCCAAGAACTAATTGCCAAACACCCATGATACCATATCTTTATAGGCCTCACCAGAATAGAATATCGAGCCCAAACAGACTGGCATGTAATTTTAAGCCCAGCCCATTGTGGTTGAAATGGATTCAGGATAGGCCCAATTGGGCCATTTAGAGACTCAACATTACGCCAATATATATACATATATTTGTGCAATAATTTTAACAATTTTTTGTACAAAATTAGTTATTTAAATATATTATATATTTTTAAAAAAATTAAGTAGAGAATTACATTACACATATAATGAAACACACAAAATTAAATTATTGACATTTTTTTTTCTAATGAGAACATTCGTTTGAAATTATTTTACATGAATACAAAGATAATAGTAGTCATGAGGGTGATGGTGTAGATAAATGTGAATTCTGTGATGCTGTTCACATTTAATTTAATTTGAATGATTGTTGGGTTTAATTTTAATTTGAATAATTTTTCCTAGTCTTTTTCTCAATAACAATAATAATGATAATAATTTTTTCTTAGGATTATTATAGTTGGAGAGGGAGATGATTGACAAAGAAAATAATAATTTTAATTTAAATGGGACAAAGGAGAAAGACAAAAATTACTTCTCTAATTTTGTTTCCTGTGCATCCAACAACAAATCAGTTGATGTCAGTGATTGACAACTATTTGTTCATAAAAAATACTAAATCCCATGATCAACTAAGTAACTAACCCTTCTACTACTACTACTACTACTGCTAATAATAATACTCCATCCGTCCTATTGGAAGGATGATGTTTATTTTTTGCACGTAAATTTTTAAATATAAGTATTATATTGAATTATAGTAGAAAGACAAAAATACCCTATTAGTATGGTGTAATATAAAAGTAATGACATTTGTCTATTATATTGTAAGTTGAAAGGATATTTATTATGTTAAGTAGATAATAAATAGTAACCTTGTTTTGGGACAGACGGAAAATAGAAAATGGTAACCTTTCAATTGGACGGAAAAAATAATAATAATAATAATAACTATAATTAATACTCCCTCCATCTTTTTGAAATGTATCATTTGGAATTTTGAAATAAATTAAAAAATTATAATTTTTTATTGGTTAGTGAAAGGATGTAAGAGATTTTACATATTTGTCTTTTAATTTTTATTTTTTTTATAAAGTAATTGTACGTGTAATAGTATGTTTTTAATTTAGATAAAAGTTAAGAGTATTTTAATATTAGTGTATGATTATTTTTTGCATGTTGCATCTTTTAATATTAATTATAGTATCTAAACATAATACAAATTAAAAAAAAAATTACAAAAATATTTCAATTAATGTCTTATCATACTAATAGAAAGACATTTGTATATAAAATTAATATTAGATACAATAATGTAAAAAGTAAATGTAAATCTTGACGAACAAAGTATTATATATACATACATTATGTTAATATATATATACATTGTATTTTTTTAATAATATTTATAAAAAATTATTTAAAAAAAAAAAAAACCAGTAAGCGAACAAGCCCATAATATTATTACTATATATTCATATTCATTATCTATTTTTAATTTTTTTATTATTATTATTTGATAGTGATTGAGATATATGGTGTATTTGGCGATTAATTGTTAGCTATTCAATTAGCTGATAGTTGTTAGTTGATTCAATTAGTTGGTTTGACTAGCTGATTTGATTAACTGTTTTAAAATGTTTGATAAAATAACTGTTTGATATTAGCTGTTTATACGTACAATGACAATTGAGGACATTTCTATTTTATTTTTATTTCTAATATATTAATTATGTTATTTTGAGTTTAGAATGTTTAAAATTTTTTGTTATTAGTTATTGAAAATTATAAAAGTGTTATAAAAGTATTTATTTTTATTAGAGTTAGATTTTAAAAAATAATATATTTTTATTAAACTATATAAATAGTTTTTTTTTATTGAAAATGATGTAAAATATAAAATAATAAATTTTTCGTGTATATATTTATTATGTTAATTATCGATTAGTTCATTATATTTATAATTTTCAATAAATTTAATTTATTTTTAGTATAAAATTTATATAATGTAATTTTAATATAAAAATAAATTATTAATATTCATATTTTATATTTTATGTTGATTTTAATAAATTTATATATTTTACAATTAAAATAATTTTTATATAAAAATTAATTATTTTAAATTTATAAAAGTAAAACTATATTATAATAAAATATTCTAATATAATAAAAATATATTTATTTGTCGTAAAATGCATAATAAATTATTAAGGGCATACAATGAATAAAATTTTTTTAACAGAAAAAGCTATTTCAAAACGTTGGGTAAGTTAGCTTTTCAGAAATTAGCTTTTTGGTTCCAAAAAGATAATTTACCAAACACCTAAATTAGCTTTTTGATTGGTCAAATAACTAAAAGCTGTCCAATAAGCTAAAAAGCTCTTCAAAAAACTATTTGTCAAACACCCAATAATATTTTAAGTGTGTATATATATATAATTGTAAGAATTGTATAATAAAATAATTTAAAAAGTAAAAACACCAAATTAAGTAGTGAATAAAATTATATATACAGACTAGTTTTAGGAAATTTGATTTAATTGAGATCTGAAATTTCTCGAAGTAAGTTGTTCTTGTTGTAGAGCCGTGGTCATTACCTGTCACCCTTCCAGGAAACACATGCTGTAATTAACTCTATGTATGTAATAAAGTTTACACCCTTAGTCACCCCAAAACTAAATACATACATATCATTTATTTATTTAAGAACTTAAATTTAAGAAAATATATTTATTTATTTATACATTATAGAGACAATCATTAATGCATATATAACAACATAGTACTATTATTGTTTGTTAAATGAATATAAGTCATATAAATATATATATATATATAGAGGTGTCAATTCGTGTTTTTGGGTTGTGTTCGTGTCGGGTTGAGCCATAAGGATAACAAAGAAACTGTCAATCCGAACCCGACCCGAACCCGAATCTGACCTGAAACCCTAGACCCGAACACTACACGAATTCTTTCAGGTCGGGTTCAGGTTGACCTGAATTAGTTTCAGGTCACCCGAAACTCGAACAAACCCGATACGAACCCGACACGAAACAGACCCAAAAATTTTAAAAAAATTAAATTAACCTAAAAAATATCATTTTTATTTTAATTTTTATATTATTTTATATTTAAAATAATATAAATATTATAAATTAAAATAATAATAATAAAAATTTCAGGTCAACACGAAACACGAAACCCAAAACCTAACCTGATTTTGATATTTCAGGTTATCAGGTCAATCCGAAACACGACCCGAACACGACACGAATTTTTTTCGTTTCAGGTTCGGGTCGACCTGATTTTTTTCAAACCCGAAATACCCAAACCCGAACCTGAAAAATTTCAGGTCGAACGGATTTAGTTTTTCGGGTCGAGTTTACTTTTGACACCCCTATATATATGTTGGGAAATAGATTAATACAATATAATACTACTCCCTCTATTCCACATAATTTATTCATATTTTCTATTTTCGTTCGTTTCATATAATTTGCTATTTTTTTAAATATAATGTACACATTAATCACATTTTGAATTTTATAATTTTTTTAATTTTAATTAAACTATTTAATTATTCTAATTTTAATATATAATTATTCTTACTATATAATAATTATTTTTATTAATATATTTTTTTAATTATTTACTAATAATTAATTATGGTCCGTCAATGCAAGACTCATAAGTCAATTTATACGAGGAATTGAAGAGCGTGTTTTTAACAATAAAATAGTAATTTCTTCAGCCAGGCAGGGTCACGTGTTCACACCATCAATTCCATCTAATTTAATAATGTTGAAGTGTTTGTTTTGGAAAAAATTTCCAAAATTTACTATTCCAAAAAAAAAAAAAAAAAAAGTTTTTCTTAAACAATATTAAATTAAAAATTTATTTTGTATATTTAAAATATCACATTAATACCTATTTATATCATATTATACCACTATTCAAATTAAAAAATTTTACTATTTAAATCTCAACTCAAAATTCAAATTCCCAAACAAACACACCCAAAGTGCCTTTCGTGGAAAAAATCATAAAGAAATGATTAGGTAATAAAATTGTAAAAAAAAAAAAAAGAGAGAATGATATGTTTTTCTTTTGCTTGGTAACGTAAAGTAAGTCAATTAAAAATATTAAAAAAAATTGCAACGATCTAAATTAAACAATTCAAAATGACTTATATATTAGGAGTGAAAAATAAATTAAAAGAAATTTTCAATGAATTGAGGATCTCAAATAATGAATAAGAGAAAGTTCAATGAATTAAGAATATGTGAATACTCATACTTTTATTAATGATTTTTTTTAAATTTTTTTTAGTAATAATTTAAATGTGATTTTCATGAGATCGAAATACTTCCTTCGTACTTTTTGTTGTCCAAATATGCATCAATTTTTATTTATTTATTATTTTTTTAAAGTATATATGAACCACACTGTATATGACAAATATCTCACATTTATATTTATTTACATCAATTCAAATTAATTTTAAAAATTATAAAGATAAAATTATTTTTAACATATTAAAATTATCTATTGTCATTCAAATGAAATATTTATTAAATTTTTTTAAAAAAATAAATATTTACTTTTTAAAGGGATAAAAAGAGTAATATCTTTTTATAAAAAATTATAAATATTAAACAGTAAAAAAAATAAAAAAATAAACATATAAACACACAATTTAAGTTATCAACTTTTATTTATTTACATTTCTCTACACGTGTGAAAAATAAAAGCAGAAAATTAGTATTATTTTTATTTTTTATTCCAATTTTATTATTATTATTTTTTTGGTACGAAACACCTCATAATCTATATATATAAAAGTGATCGGTATAGGATTACCCTACCAAATCTATTTTGTCAATTTTTTTTTATTTGTTTTAATATTTTGATTTTTTTAATAAAATAAATATGTATTAAATGTTATTAAGTATACTATAACTAATAAAATTATATTTAATATATTTTTAAAGATAATAAAATAATTGATTTAATTTTATGATTAAAGTAAATTATAATCTTGTCTATTTATACTCTTAATTAAAGGTAATAAAAATGTAATAATTTTGAAATGTAATTTTTATTATTTTTATTTATACCCACAATTAATGGATGATTAAATTTTTCAAAATTTTCATTATAATTGATATTAAATAATTATATTAATTGATATAATTAATGAAATTGTAATTTAAATGTACTTATTAAAAGCTAAAACTTATTATTATTATTATTATTATCATTATTATTATTAATAATAATGAAATTGTAATTTAAATGTACTTACTAAAAGCCGTCCCTGTAGAGTTTTGTTATCGTAAAAAAATCGCCACCAACGGTTTAATTGGAAAAGCCTGTCGGAATTGATTTGTTTGAAGGGTTCCTCGGCCTCCTCAATAAAGGATCCGAATAATTAACAAAAAAAAAAAGAAGAAGGTAAATAAATAAGAACGAAGCTGAAAATTAAATTTGAATTAATCGAAGAAAATTGTGAAAATCTAAAAAAATTACAAGAAAATAATGTAGAGAAAAATTATGAAAAAAAATGAAGAAGATTCATGATGATTGGCCGTCTCTTCTTCTGGTTCTACCCTTGGATATTTATTTTGTTTTTTTAATTCTGTTTGAATAAGATATTATCCCTAATTATTCTCAACAACTCCAACCACCTTTACTTCCACCTTCTTTCGACTACTTCAAATGGTCCTTGGGCTAGTCTCGGCTCACTCGCTGATCTGGACCTTCTGTTGGACTGCGAACCTCGAAGATTTGGGCTACACTTGTGTTGAACCGGTCCAATTAATTTTGAGTGTGTACAATTTTTATACGTTACTTTTTTGTCATTTTTTTTAATAAAATGAGATCCACTCTATCATATTTGTTTGTCATTTTTTATTTTTGTAATAAAATAATATGTATCAAATAGAGGAATATAATGCAATTAAATCTAATTGATGATATAATCTGAATCTGAATTACTAGTAAATTATTTCATTTATTAGAATTAAAGACTGTATTCATTCATGCATCTATATCAAAGTAACAACATATTGTTCAAACCCCCACCTCACCTTACATCATATACATACATATATATATATATATATATATATTATAAATAAATAAATTTTGGCATTAGGGAACAGAGAAGAGAAGGTTGCTTTGTCTGTAGTCACTCAGTCGTAATCCCAAAATATCTATAAAAATGAATTATTATTATTAGTATTCCCCAATCCAATCTTCATATAAAATCTAATCTAATCTAATATATTCTTAGGAACCCTCAATAAACCACATATCCCCATATACCCACCAAATCATCATTCAATTTATGAACCCCTTTCTCAATTTTATTCATTTTTACCATTCCAAATCATTCAACAAATTAATTAGAGATTGATCATATCCAACAAGAAAAATGATGATGATGATCATGGATCCAAACAAGATTAATACAACCATCACTTCTCAGCCTCCTCAAGATCACACGACCAACTCCGACGATTTCCCGACGTCGCCGATGCCGGGTTTCCGGTTCCATCCAACCGATGAAGAGCTCATCGCGTTCTACCTCAAAAGAAAGCTTCAGCTCAAACCCCTCCCCGTCGACCTCATTAGGCAGGTCGACATCTACAAGTACGATCCATGGGACCTTCCGAGTAAGATACTCATACAAACATACATCAATTAATTACTTACTAATTTTTGCGAGCATACTTTAAAAAATAAAATAAAAAAAAAATCGAATATACACAGAATTGGCCTCGACAACAACAGGGGAGAAGGAATGGTACTTCTACTGTCCGAGGGACCGGAAATACCGAAACAGCACGAGGCCTAATCGGGTCACTGGATCGGGCTTCTGGAAGGCCACCGGCACCGATAGGCCTATTTACTCCTCCGACGGGACTAAATGCATCGGCCTAAAGAAGTCGTTGGTGTTCTACCGCGGCCGGGCTGCCAAAGGTGCCAAAACCGATTGGATGATGCACGAGTTCCGGCTCCCTTCTGCGCCGGACCGATCCCTGCCGCCACTGCCAACATCAACAACAGCAACCACTGACAAAAAATCGATCAATAGGAACCATCTTCCGTCAACGGTAATACTCTCTCTGTTAGAGATACTTATGTCAGTTTATTTATTTTTATAGCAAAATTGTTCATAACTCTTCTATAGTTTCGAAATTCATTGTATATCACGTATATTTTAAAAATTATATAGCACCCTTTTATATTTTAAAAATATTGTATGAACCCCCGCCATACAAAAAATACTGATAGAAATAATTTTTTCATAAAAAAAAAATATATATAAAAAGGGATTTTCATGTAACATTTTTAAGGTATAAATGGCACAATGCAAAAAATATTGATTAGAAATCATCTTTTTCATAACAAAAATAAAATGTAAAAATAAGTTTCACCTTAACATTTTTAAAGTATAAAAAAAATTTACACTCACTTTCGAAAACAAAATTAAATTATTAATTTTGCCTAAGTTTATGTTGAACTTATGCATAGGGTGCGTTTGGCAATTCGCTGATAGCTTTTAGCTGTTAGCTGATTAAATTAGCTGGTTTGACTAGCTAATTCAATTAGCGGTTTGTATTAAAGTGTTTGGTAAAATAACTCTTTGACATTAGCTATTTATATTAAGGACATTGATATGTTATTTTATAAAATATTTAATTTTGTTCATTTTGGTTTGAAATTTATGAGAATTTTTGTTATTAATTATTGAAAATTATAAAATATTTATTTTTTATTTTTATTATTTAGATCCGAAAAAATTATTTTTACTAAAAAAATAATAATTTTTTTATTGAAATTATATAAAATATAAAATAATAAATCTTTCGTATATATATTTTTATTGTGTTAATTATTATTTTAATATATAAAAATAAATTAATAACCTTTGTTTTTTCTATTTGATTTAGTTATAAATTATATATTTTACAAATAAAATAATTTTATATCTAATAATTAATAATAGTAATTATTTTAAATTTACAAAAAAAAATTAAATATATTAAAAATATTTAATAAATACTGCTATAAAAATATATTTATATGTAAAAAATAAATAATTAAGTTTTAAGGATAAAAAGGAATAAACAAAATTAAAATGAAAAAGCTCTTTCAAAATGCTGGGTGATGAGCTTTTCAAAAATTAGCTTTTTGGGTCATAAACGCTCTTTCAAGAAAAGCTAATTTACCAAACACCTAGCTTTTTGACTAGTCAAACAACTAAAAACTGTTGAATAAGTTAAAAACTCTTAAAAAAACGCTGTTTCCCAAACATTTCCATAATCTAATAACAAATAGCTTTAAAAAAATAATAATCAATATATAATACGGCATAAAAATCACAGTAGGGAGTATAAACATCTCTTCCAAGCAATTAATTCAATCAGATAATCCAATTGACCTAATTAATCAATGATCTCCATTAACCGAACAGGATTCATGGGCCATTTGTCGGATTTTCAAGAAGACGGCGGCAGCCGCCGCCTCCAGGGCGGCGGTGCTTTCCCAATCTTGGCAGGCCCTGTCGTCTTCATCGGCCCCACCACTCGATGGTTGTTACTACAGTAACTTGGTCGAATCAGAAACGATGATCCACTCGAATTGCTACTCATCATCGGATCTTCCTTCATCGTTCAAATCCAATGCTGCAGATTGCTTCCCGGATAACCTCGGATTTCCCCAAGGCTCAGATTCAGAGACGACCGTTAAAATTGGTGCAGCAGGTGACCTAACCTCCATGCTTTTCTGCCAATCTGCAGCCATGGATTCTTCCAATTACAGATTGCAGACTGCTGCTGACATAAACATGCCGGACGACGAAGAAGGTATCAATATGATCCGACAGATGGGATTCCCTTTCAGCTTGGCTGCAACAACAGCTGCACAAGGACAAGGACAAGATTCATGGGATTATTCTCTACCTCCATATCCTACTGAGATTTCATCCTCTAACCACTCTACCAACAACTAACTGCTATACATAAATTAATTTTTCTTGCCATGTAACGTAATGTACAGTTAATTACCCAAAAAAAAAAAAGTGAAATGAAATTACTTTTGTGTTTATCTATTTTTTGTGATCAAATATAAACAAAACTGTCAAGATGGCCGAGCGGTCTAAGGCGCCAGTTTCAGGTACTGGTCCGAAAGGGCGTGGGTTCAAATCCCACTCTTGACACAATTTTTTTTTAGTTTTCCTTTCTTTACCATTTTTATCCCCTTCTCTTGACATATTTTTGTCCAATTTTGTGCATTAGCAAGGACTCTCTCCGTCCCAAACATCATGCAATATGAATAATAATTTATTATACTTAATTTCTACTCCACAATTTATTCCCTCACATTATTCAAATAAAAAAAATTAGAGTATTATTTTGTTCTTCTTCTTCTTTATTTAATTATTCATTTAATCAGAGTAGTTCTGCCATTGCCAAAGCAAGCTATAGAAGCAACTATCTACTTCTTCTATGGATCGATTCAATTAATTAATTGGTGACAAAATTAAAATCTAACAAGGGAAGAGCAAGAAAGCAGGCTCTACATATAATCTCCTATCGACAAAACTAATCCTATCAAGCTTGTTATGACACCATTGCAACTGATCCCTCGTTATCTTCGACATGTTCAATGTCCTCCCGACTAATCTCATGTCCACCTGCGAGAAAAACCACAGCACGTGGTCGTACTCGTCGTCTCCCCGGCATCGGCTCATTTTCCTCAGGATGCACTTTTCGCTCTTAACTACTTCCCGGAGCTTCCTCTGCTTCTGCATTTCAAAACGATCTTATTACATCATATGGTATATCGAGTTGATTGTGTGATTATTACAATCTTTGTCGATGATGGGAAATACGAACCTTTTGGAGAGCCTTCTTGGCCTCCATTAGTAGCTTGAGGTCTTCCGGAAAAGCGAGCTCCGGAAGCTTTTTGTCGCCTGAGACAATGCAGTCCTTGTCAGCCCGGACAAATCGCCAGAATACCCGAATCGATTCTTCGAGAATTTCCACGAGAGTTTCGCTGGTGACGATGTAGGCGTCTTCTCCGTTGTCTGATTTCCAGTTCTTTCTTCTGTCTTTCGGGTTGTCCTCTGTCGGAAATAATTAAAGTTATTATATTAAATGATCATCTCACCTAAATACGCCAGGTAGACCATCTTTAAACTAGATCATTAATTACATATTACATAATCTTTTAATGCAACGGCGCCGCCAAAAGTAGGTGTAATAATCTAAATAGCTCATACTCACGTCTTATTACGGGGATTTGAAGAAGATTGCGATGCGCGCGCCGCGTGGTGACGTAATGCTGCAATCGCGGGCCGCGGAACGGTTCGTCTTCGATGAATCTATGCATCAGCACTTGAAACTGCTGGAACTCGCCGGCGACTTTGTTGTATGTTCGAACGCCACGTGGATCGTTGTCGCACAAATCCAGGGCCTTCTCATACTGCCATTGTAAGAACTCCCACGAAAGACACGTGTGCGCCACGTACACGGCTTCTAGATCCTCCTGCAGCTCCTTTACGAACTTCTTCATCGGATCATCCGCGCCGTGGACTCTGTTCTTAAAGAGATGCAGAGGATTCTGGGACAGGACAGATCTGAAGGTCGGCGATGATTTTTCCTTGGACAAGGATTGCAGAGGATCCTTCAGCTGCAGACAACCTGCAACTTCGATTAGCTCCCGAGAACAATCGACGAGAATGTAATAAGGAAACAGCAGGTTAGTTAGTTAATTTATTACCAATAGCATACATCTTCTGGTAGCTGACAATGTCGAATTTTCGCATTCTTTCGTGGTAAGTTTTGTAGAATCTGTGGAGATCGCCGAAGGAATCTTGGCGCTGGAATTCGTCGATTTTCCATGGCTTCAAGTCTTCCATGAGTATCTTAGGGGAGGTTTCGGATTCTTCTAGAATGGTGGGAAGCCCTGTTGCCTTCACCTTCTTCAGCTCCATTTTTAGCTGCTCGATCAGCTCTTGATGCTCCCACAGACTGTCTGAATCCTCGCATTCGGCATCTTCTTCTTCGGAATCATCCTCGAAATCGTCTATGTTGTCTGAATACTCAACATTTTCATTATCATCAAAGTCCTGCTCGGACAAGAAACCTTTGTCTAGGTTAATATCATCGACCTGTGATGAATCTTCTTCGGTAAAATCCCATTTATAATCGCTGCTGATTTCCATTTCCTCCACAAAATCAATCTCCGACAAGAAACCATTGGTGTAAGAATTCGAAGAACCGCTCTCCAAATCACAATTTTCAACACTAAATTGATTCTCATCAAGATCAAGATCAACAGCATCTTCTTCCTCAATTCCTTCATCAATCTCTAAATTTCCACCGGGATCATCGTCAATTTCATCGAAAAGATTACCTCCTTCTTTCTGGATTTGTCTGAACTCTTCGTAACTGGGGAACTTGAATTTCAAACACACCTCTTCATTCTCTCCTTCATCGTCGTCCCCATCATCCGGCTCTACAAAATTCTTCAATCTCTGATCATTCTTTTCACTACGGCCATTGTCCCCTCCCAGCCTGGAGCACGACCATCGAATCAAAACCCGATCAACAAAAACCATAACCACACACACACACACACAAAAAGAAACCTTAAAGAACAAAAACGAAAACCTGAAAATGTACGAGGAGAAGAACCCTAAGAGAAAGGCAAGATATAGGGAGACAGCGCGAGGCAAGAGAACCAACTTCTGCAACAAAAACCGGAATTTCGAACCGGCCATGGAGAGGCATGAAAATCGAGATTAGAGGGGTCGGTGGAGACGATGGATTGAGTTGGAAGCAAAGGGAGAAATGCAATCCATGGGTGGTTTGAATTATTCAGAGATGGAAATGGACTCAGCACCTGTAAACAAAATTCGCATGAAACCACAACAGACCCCTCGAAAATCTGACTCGAAAGAAGTTGATGTCCGACCTCATCGGATTAGGGCACCCAATTTTAGGGTTTTTTCTTTTCAGATTTTTCAAACCTTCAGTTTTTGGGCTGTGATCGCTGCGTTGATCGCCTCCTTCCACACCTCCTCCAATTCGCCCATGTTTTTGCCCCAACTTATTATTATTATTATTATTATTTTCAATAAATATTACAATTATTATTTTCCTTCTAGGGAAAATCAGGAAGAAAAAGTCGAAAGACTTTTATAAAGGAAATCCACATATAATATACAATACACCAAACAGAAGGTCAATGGCTTTGACCTTTGAATAGAACGAAGACTGTGGAAGTTCTAGTGTGGGTGGACCGGACCCTCCACCGTTGACTGATGGACGACTTTTTTGTACTGTTCTTCTCATTACACTCCTCGTTCGTGTATATATATATATATATATATATTATCAATTGTTGGAGTCCTGATTGGGTTAATAAAGATGTGAAAACCGGGTGTGTTTACGTGGAATTTTATCCTTAATTATACTATTTTAATTTTATTTTTTTTAAATATCAAATTAAATATTAACTTTTTTTTTATTACAATTAAATTTAATTTTACATTCAAAACATCACGTCAATACCTATTTATTTTACATCAAACAACTATTTCAATTCAAAAAACTAAAATCTTACGAGTAAACACACGTAAAATACAACATATACACACGTATCCTCCCAAGACCAAACATTCAAAGCTAGAAATATTTTACCGCTTGATTTACAAAAGAGTTTGACTCTAACAACAAAGAGTTATACTTTCTAAATTTAAATGTTCACTTACAAGATTTTTTTTTTTTTTTTTTTTTTTTGTTTATTAACTACATATTCATTACTTGTTACAAATATTTTTTTGATACGGAGACAAGATCATATGCTGACATTAATTTTTAATTCAGCACTACTGAATTACATCCTAACTATTAATTAAATAAAATTAATTAAGTTATTTTAAACATTAAAAATTCACCAAAACAGAGGAAGTATATGCACGTAGATTTTATTTGAAGAAATTAATAATAGTATTTATTATTATACTAACTACTTTAATGCGTTGTTAGTTCATATAATAATATATTATATTTATATTAAATAAATATTCATTTATTCCTATAAAATTAGTTTTTTTTTTTAAGAAGTTTAAAAAATATTGTATGACATAGTTAATTAGTTTGATTAATTTATATAATATTTGTAATGCATTTTTATTTCAATTAATTTATTTGGTGAAATATTAAAATAAAAATAAAATAATTATTTTTTATTTTATATTTTGAAATTAATTTTTTTAATAAAATTATTATATCAATTGTAAAATAATCACGTCTTTTATGGTTGTTTTAAAAAAATAATTTTTTAAAAATAAAAATTACTAGTTTTGCTATTTTTTATTTATTATTAAAGAAAATTTATAATATTTTACCTATTTTTCTTATAATTCATATTGGGTCAAATGAGTATAAATAGACGGAGGGAGTATTATTTTCTTTTATAAATAATCACGTCAAAATACTATTTATACAAAAATTTAAATCTAACATTTTATTTTAAATTAATTTCAAACCAATAATTTTATGTGAAATTTCTTCTAATTTTCCTATATGATTTTTTGTTAGGCATTACTTAATCTATGTAAAATACTTAGCTAGCCAGAAAGAATTCAACTCTATTTTCTCAATACTAATTTTTTTAGAAATAATAATAATACTAATAAAAAAGGGTCTCTCTTATCTTTTTCAATGTAGATTATTGTACAATTTTCATAACCCATTTTTTTGCCCATAACCGAATTCCAGAGTTTCAAGAATTTTTTCTAGTAAGTTTGGTCGTTTTTTTTGTTTTTTTTGTTTTTTTTTGTTTTTTTTTTTTTTTAAATGATGTGAGAATCCGCAGTCGCTACCAGAAAGTGCGTAGTGCGCACTGGGTAAATTTCCAGTCGAATCTAATACCCTACAAATCAAGCCCGACCGAAAAGTCCAGGTGACCCTCACGATCACAAGTCAGTTTTTTGGAGAGGTTGAAAATAGTCTATTGTAAAATTAAATTTTTATTTCTCACATCATAAAGAAAACTACTTCGTCCATCCTAGATATAATGTTATAATTACTTGTAGACAGCTTAATTTAAAAGAGTATAATTAATAAATAATTATATTATAATAAAAATAATTATAAATTATAAATTTTAAAATAAAAGTAAAGTATGTAATCATTTCACAAAAACATATGACATAAAATATACAACGAACAAACAATCAAAATCGTGACATAATATGTGCGAAGGAGTGAGTATTATTTTATCTTAAATATTGCATAATTAAACATTTCTTTATTTATTTTTGGATCATGTGTGTGTCTCAGTTGCCAAATTTTGGGCTTACCGTTTAGTAAAGCCCAAGTAATAGGCCCAAAACAATGCCTTTTTGGAAGCAAAGGTGTTTTTTTTTTCTTACCATTTCATAATCTTCATCAACTATATGTCTTTTTTTTTTTTATTATGACGTGGAAACCGCAGTTGTTACCGAAAGTGCACTGGGTAAATCCTTGGTCGAACCTAATATATTGCATTGTTTGAACATAATTTGAGAGAATTTGGTCGCATTTATACCAAAATTTTCTAGCAGTGGACACTGTAGCCTTGTATGTATTTCAAAAAAATATTTAGGAATGACAATCGGAACGAATTGGCCAAAGACTCGGTCTTAGCGGGAACAAATTGTGGGTTTTATGATTTTAAATCCGGTCAGATTTAGAATGGGTCACGAATTTCATCAAAAATTCATTCCAAATCTGTTCACAGTTTGAACTTGTTTAAATTAATAACTATGAGAATTAATATTATATTTATATAATCATTAATATTATATACTTTTATTATTTTTTATTTTTGAATTTTTCACAAATTTTAATTGTATTGTATATCTTTTAATTTACTATTTTTTCAAACCCCATTATCACTGTCATTGAAAATATATAACTGTTTTCATTATTGAAATTTTTAATATTTAAAATACTTATTATTTAATATCTGAATTTTTAATTACGCTTTATTATATAATCTATAAATATCTTTTTAAAAAAATGATATATAAATATATTTTATGAAATAATTTGAATTTTTTGGATTGGTCCCAAACATTACAGGTTCAAGATGGGCCGGATTCTGTAGCCTATAATTTTCTAGCCAAGGAAAATTTGAAGTTTGGAAATTTTTTTCCGCTCTTTCGTCATACTTAAAATTATTTGAAATATATTTTTCAAAATTTAATTTCATACTTTTTTATATATATATTTTTTTGAATCAAATATATATATAAAAAAGTCATATACAGACCCGACGAAAAAGTCACGGAGGTTTGAACCCATGACTTCATGATCACAAATTCAACTCCTACAGCATCAGGTCATCCCTTACGGGACAAATATTCTTAAGAAGATGGGTTGGGTCGGTGATAAACAAAGCATGAGTGCTAACCAGCCTTTTAAGTGGCCCTTTAATCTTAGAGTTTGTTTGCTTGGGGTTGTAAATTGATTTGAAATCGAATATAGTTTTGAATTTTTATTTAAATAATATTTTAATTCAATATTTTGTGAAAAAAATATTACTTTCGTCCATCTCAACGGTCACATTTACTCTTTGCGTCATTGTACTTAATATTAAAAAAATTCTTATATTTGTATAAAGTTTGTACAAATATCATTCTATTAGTTAATATTTTTATTAAAAACTGTACAAAATGAATCACTATAATTTTAATTTGATATGTCAAATTATATTCAGGCTAAAAGAGCAGTTGCAACGACTTCTAAAATCGATGGGCCTTTGGGCCTGTCAGAAGCTTGATTTTTGTCATCTGTTAATGAATTTTATCAGTTTTGTAGGGTTTCATTATATTTACATTAACTAAATTAATATTGCCATTAAGTGTAGAGTTGATTGGTTATATATATATATAGTATAATAATAAATAGTTTAACTTATTTAAACTGTAATTTATATATTTATAAACACAATTTATGGTTTCATTTATTTTAAATTTATCCATCCAAATAACTGTATTTTTTTACTTTTTTGTTTTAATTGAATTTTCTATTTTATCAAATAAAAAAATTAATTCTTATTCTATGTTGAATTCTTTTTTCAACAATTCTATTTCATACTTTTGTTTTTTTTGCAATTTTATTATCTATATCAATTTTCTCCAGCTTTGTTGTGATGTAGATTAGGTGTGTTTCTTTGTACTGTTTGATTTGAAAAAAATTATTTGAATTTTTATTTAAATAATATTTAATTTGATACTTAAAACTATATATATATATATAACTTTTCTTTTTCTAAAAAAAAAATTAGAGTCTACAAATATTTTAATGGATTTTTAAAATTATTATTATTATTATTATTATTGGTGGTGTTATTGTTGTTATGATAAATAATATGATAATACTTATTAATATTATCATAATTTTTAATAAAAATAATAATTTAAAACTAAAATATATTAGTAAATTATTATGATTTTTTTAAAATATATATATTTTTATATTATAAATGTAATTTTAAAAAATATTATTATCATAATAAATATGTATTACTGTCTTTTTTTTCTTTTCAATTATCGAATATAATATATTGTCATTTCGGTGTAATTTTTCTTTTTCAATTATCGAGTACATTGTATTATCATCCGATAATGGTGAAATAGATATTTAAATATATATTTTTTGTTAAACCGTTAATTTATATTTATTTATTTATTTTAATATTTTTTTCAAAAATTGCAAATTATATTTTTTATGTAAAAAAGTTATATAAATAATAATAATAAATAATAAAGAAATATAAAACTAATTTAATATATTGAATGATAATATAATACTAAAATTATAAAATTAAAATTAGTAATTTACATGGTACAATATTTCTACATTATTAATAATTATATATTATTTATTAATATTAAGATTTATTTTATTAATAATTATATATTATATTTATAAAATTTGTGTTGGATATAAATTTATGTAATTAATCTATATTCATAAAAAAAAATATTATTTTACAATCCTATAAAATTCATATAAATCCATCGAACTCAGCGTAAACTTTGTAAATTTTCTAAATCTACATAAATCCATAAACTTTTTAAAATAAAATAAAATAAAAAATTCATTAAAATCTCAATTTAATACACCCCTTAAATTTACATAGTACTTTACCTATGAGATTTTTATTTTGGATTTTGATTTTTATTAATAAAATTTTGAATTGAAATAATTGTTATGTAATTAAATATGTATTAATGTAATATTTTGAACGAAAACTTAACTTTTAATTTAATATAACTAATGAAACATATGTTTAATTTAATATTTTAAATAATATTTTTTTCTTAAACAAGGAAGCCAAAATAAAAATTTTATAACTAAACACACTCAAATATATTTTTTAAATTTTCTGTGACTATTTATTAATTAGTATAATATTTTCAAAACTATATCAATCTCATTTTTTTTATTAATTATAAAAAAAATTAAAAACTTATATGAAACGAGCCTAAGAATGGATGGGTCAAAAAAAATAAAGGTTGATCGGGTTAGTGTTCGGCCTTGCACGCACTTAATTAGCCGTTACATTTCAAGTGCAGCACCCCTACCCTCCCCCCAACCTCTCGATTAGATTCATTGGAACTATTCCATTATTACTATGTTCAATTGCCGGCGGCGCTGCAGTGCTGAATGATTTAACATCACATGACATGGTTTCATACAAACGATATTTTATTTTAGCATATGACATATTCTTATACAACACAATACACTGTAATTATAAATAAATAACACGTACTTTTATTACATAAAATATATATTTGTAATAAAATTATGCATTAATTTTTTAAATTTAGCACCGTAATTTTTCCCTAATTCACCTTGACCCTCTCAATACAAAATTCCTCTCGTACGAGAGTGCACTCTTTGATGAGAGGGGGACTTTTATTATGGTTTTTATTTTTTTATTTAAAATTTAAAATTAATTTAAAATTTAAAATTTTACTTATCTATTTTATTTTTAGTTTATTATTCATAAAATAAATTATTGTTTTAATTTTATAATTAATACTTTTTCCGTTTCACTTAATTATCCCATCTTTTTATTTTCGTTTGTCAATATAATTTATCATTTTTTTTAAAATATAATTATACATTTTAATCATATTTTAAAATTCATAATTTATTATTTTAATTAAACTATTTATTCATTTTAAACTTAATTTATAATTATTTTTATTAAATTATAATTATTTTTACTACTAATTATACAATACTTAAAATTTTGTGTTAAGCTAAAAGGACAAATTAGCTGGGACGGAGAGAGTATTAATTTTTATACTTCCTCCGTCACGCAAGAAGGTTACTCTCTAGTTTTGTGTCATTGTATTTGACCTTAAAAATATTTTTATATTTGAATAATTTACTCCAAAAATATTATTGTATTTGTATTATAATAAACTAATAAACATAATTATGTCCATATCTCTTAATTTTTACTACGTATTGATATAATAATTAATATTAAAAAAATTACATGTAAAACACCAATGACAACCTTCTTGCGGGACAGAGAAAGTATTATAATTATTATATCTAACAAAAGATATTATATAATATTTTTATTTATATTTTGCATAAAGATTATTTAATAATATTAAATTTTACTTTATTTAATTAAAAAAAACTATATTTACTCATATAATTTTTTATGATCAAATAATAAAATATTATAAATTTAATATCTTGATATAATATTTAGAATATTTTTATAAATCAAATATATATATATATATAAAAATATTCGGTATTGTTTATAAATTAAAAAAATTATAAAAAGTAATATATAAAATAAAATATTCTTTAACCTGCGAAAAATAAATGGTGTGATGGGAGATATGCTGAATTTAAAATTTAACATTGTTCTAAACAATAAATTATGTGCTATTTGACATAACATAATATTACTGTATATGTTAATATAATATAAATACAACACATAAAAAGCTAGTATGTTATAATTTCAACAATACATAGACATCATACAATATTACTACAACTAGCTCACAACATTACTACAAATAATACATTTTATATGTTAATATAATACAAATACAATATGAACTAACAAAATATGTTATAGTCTCATACAACAATTGATTTTTAGCACAGGATATACTCTTATACAATACTATTGTTATTATTATTAAAAAACAACACATATTTTTGTTATACACACTATGTGTTGTTAATATATATAATGCGCGTTGATATATATTTTGCAGAAATAAAAGATATGATTTGAGATAAATCACTGAAAAAAGTCCGTAAAAATAGAGAAATGTATTTTTTTTTAACTTACGAAACTAGCCTAAGAATGGGAGGGTTAAAAAATATAGAGGTCGATAGGATTAGTGTTAGGCCTTGCGCGCAATTAATTAGCCGTTACATGCATTTCAAGTGCAGCATCCCTACCCTCCCTCCCAACTCTCGATCAGATTCATTGGAACTATTCCATTATTATCGTCAGAATAATTGTATCTATCTATATATCTACACAGAGAGAGAGAGAGAGAGAGCGAGAACTAGAGAGAGAGAGAGAGAGATGAAGAAACGGATGCAGGTGGTGGTGTTGAAGCGAGACGACGATCAATTTCGGAGAAACTCAGGAAATCCGGCGGCGGCGGTGCATTACGGGGAGTGCCGGAAAAACCAGGCGGCGAACGTGGGAAGATACGCGGTGGACGGCTGCGGCGAGTTCATGGCGTGCGGGGAGGAGGGGACTTCCGGAGCGCTGACCTGCGCCGCCTGCGGCTGCCACCGGAATTTCCACCGGCAGGAAGTGGTGGTTTGCGACAGCTCGCGCACGTGCGCGTCCTACCGATGCACGTGATGCATGTTTGTGTGGGAGTTGGGTGCATTATTATGGCGCCGGCCGGGCCGGCGGGTGTGTCAGCTGCTTTATGTGATCACACTTCCATCCGCTTATTATTTTATATTATTTTCATTTTTTTCACAAAATAAAATAAATCTCTAATTTATTTCTTTATTTTTAAAAATCTAATAATATATATATATACATATTGTATAACGAATTATTTAGTTTATTGGAAGCAAATCAATTTGTTATGTGTTAAAATGAAAATAATTAAAATTAATAAATATGGTACTGTTAATTGATGTATTATGGAGTAAATAATGTACTAGCACTATAGTGAAAAAGAAAAGTTTGATACAATTTACATATACATGTTGACATTTATTTATCTTATATCTTAATTACTTTGCTTAGATAGATCAATACTACCTCCGTTTTTGTATTCACATTGATGTTTATGTATGTTCTACATTTAATGTTATTTTTCTTTTTTTAAATATATACTACTATATTTTATATATTTTTATTTATAATTTATTTTAATTTTAATTAAAAGAATCAGTTATCTTAATTTATAATTATTTACATTATATTTTTATTATTTTTACTAAAATATTATATATTTTAATCACATTTTATATTTTTATATTTATAATTTGCTTTAATATAATTATTTGTATTATGAATATATTTTTTATTATTTACTAGTTAATATTTCTTCTAAATTTTCATATTTATCGTAACAAGAACATAAGACCGATAGAGTATTTTTTTATTTTTTTTTTTAAATAAATGAATCCAAATTTAACTATGTGCGCACGTGTGTGATGGACTATATATCAAAATTTAGGCGCCTTTTATACAATAACTTGTGTATTATTTGACTTTTTAGAAATATCATATTAAAACATATTTTTTATATAAAATATTAAATCAAATATTAGTTTTTAATAATTTTTAAACTTTTAAAACTCTTAAAGCATCTCTTGTGATGATATTAGGTATTTAGTTGGCGGGAGCAACCTTTAGGTATTTGTTGATTTTCAGGCATAAGTCAAATCTTTAAAGTTTAAACGAATGAATATGATACTCTGTAGTTTTTGGTTATTTATGATTTATTTTTTAAAAATAAAAAATAAATAAATTTTGTGAGTTTTCAATGAAAAAAAAAAATAATAATAAATAAAAATTGAATGCAACATTTAAAAAAAGAACTTGTTATAATCTTCTTACTTTGGCAGAAGGCCCATTGTCATAAAAATGAGCGATTCAATTTGTAGGATACCCAAATTTTGTAATGGGCTAATGATTTATTTATTTTTTCTGGTTTGTCAAGCCCATTATAACCCGGCCCACCTCAATATACACAAGATATATATATTTTGCTATTAAACATGATATTTTGAACTGAAATTATCGTAAATACATTTCTAAAGAAAAATATTGTAAGATTAAATAATAAAGATAATAATTTTAAAAATACAAGTGAACAAGTCTTATATGTAATTGAGAGTAAATCCCGAGTTTGTAAGAAAAAGAATATTGAAAATCCAGTTCAATTTAGAACTTAAGATAAGATTTTTGTACTTTCTAATAATATATTCCTTCCGTTCCATATTTATATATCCATTTGTATTTTGCATAAAGTTTTAGAAATATTAGTATTATATTGGTATAAAGTAGAAATAAAGGTAAAAAAGATTAAATTACCCCTATTATTGTATAATACAAAGGTAATGACATTTGTGTAATATATTGTAAATTATAAGACTATTTTGAATTTGATAGGTGTGCATGAGATTAAAATATATGTGAAAAGCATTGTACTCCTCTTTAATTTTTTATTATTGGTCTAGTTTCTGCACTTAATACATACTTCCTCCGTCCCACCGGAGTTGAACTATTTGATTATGGATACGGTATTTAAGGTAATAATATTTAATTAATTAATAATAATGAGTTATGATATTATTATATTATTCTTTTATAATTAATAATATTTTATAATTTTAAAGTAAATTTAATATATATAATTAAAAAATTAAAATATATGTTTAAATATTTAAAAATTATATAGCAATTAAAAACTATATGTAATATGGATATCATTTTGTAGAGAATAAAATTTTCTATAATACAAAGTAAATAAATTTTTTTTAATTTATAATTAATATAAATCAATTTTATAAAAGATGTGTAATTTTAAATATTGATAAAAATATATTTTTTTAGAAGAGAGATAAAAATAAAGAGGTTTTGAATGGATCCTACGTAATTGATGTATGTTATGTTGCTAATTAAGTTGATTTACATTTTTAAATGGTACGTTTTGATTTAATAATTGTTACTAAAAATAGAAATATGTCAATTATTACCGGACAAACAAAAATAGAAATAGTGTCAATTGTGATAGTACAGAGAAGGTATATGTTATTTCAATTAATTGTATATATATATCTAGATATATATATATTCAATCATCATTTTATTTAATGACAAAAAACTTCAATTAATAGAAATTTTATATTTTTCAATAAATACTATTTTAAAAATGATATAAATAATAATAAAGTTTACGCACTCATTACGCACTCATTACTTCTTGGGTGCTAACCTCTAAATGTTAGATGACCGGAATGTCTGTCTCAACTAAACGATTAAAATATTAAGAATATACATCATTAATTATTTTTTTAAATTATGAGAGTCTGTAATACGTCTCTTAAGATGCAAGTAGATGTATGTGAAACTTGCATATATATATATATATGTGTCGGATGAAAAATTTATGATTCTGATATCATATTTAAATATTTAAAAATCGTCAATAAATAAGCCATTAGAATTTAAAATATGTATTAATTGATAAATAATTTCTTCTAATTTGCTAAATAATTTTAAATCTTAAAACACTTTAAATATGATTCAAAAGATGTTTAAGAAAAAAATATACTCGTAATTAATATATATTTGTATGAAAATTGACTTTAAATATTCTGAATACATAACTAAAAATATAATTTAATTGTTATTATTGATTTAAATATAATTCACTTTAATAAATATATAAAAATTAATAAATGTTTTAAACACGAAAATATTAAATGTATTTATAAAAAATAATGTACCTATTTTTTACTTAAAATAAGATTATTATTCATTCTACACCGTTTTTAATAAAAATATATTACTCCTTCCGTCTCAATATAATAGTCTTGTTTACTATTTTTGTCCGTACCATAACAATAGTTTTATTTCCATGAATAATCATATCACCATAAAATTACCTTTACTTTTTCATTTTATTACACAATTGCCACTACTTTTTACACTAATACACTCTCAATGACAAAAAAGTCTTTTATCTATACTTTTTACCAACTATCAATATAATATCAATATTCCTTAAATTTCGTGCCCAACTCAATTAAAACTATAATTCTAAGACGGATGGAGTATTGTTTTCATAAAAATATCATATAAAAATATTATTTAAATCAAAACTCAAATTAAATACAATTATTTATAATTTTCAATTAAAATCTAGCAAATCCAAATAAAAGTTAAAAATAATTGTTTTTAGGCTAAATTATACATCACACATTGAATTATATATCACACATTGATCGTTTTTTCATTTGTTGCATGAAAACCAATTGTATTGGCATAAAATTTGTCTAAAATACATTTTTTTTGGTCCAAAATTAACGTCTAAACCTCATGATATTATATGAATGGCCTTTAGGCCATCTCCAACCATCCACTACATTTTTGCAGTTGTTACAGCAAAAATGCAGTTGATCTACGGTAATTTTACTCCAACCATAAACTCCAATTTTTGCTCTAAAAAGTATATTCCATATATATTCCTCTTTTATATTATTTTATATAACTTTTCATATTTATAAATTACACCCAAATTTTAATTTATTTTTATATTAGATCCATACACATATAAAGATAAACATGCATTTTAATTCTTTAGATAATATTGAAAAAAATATTTTCGGCATCATCTATTTTATTAAATTTTTAGGGTGTGTTTGTCCTAAGGATTTAGCTTGGAGCTTTTATTATTATTATTATTATTATTATTATTATTATTATTATTATTATTATTATTATTTATTATTATTATTATTTATTATTTATTATTTATATTATTATTATTATTATTATTATTATTATTATTATTATTAGGTAAGTATTGAAAATGATATTGGCTTGAATGAATGAATGTAAGAAATCCCTGAAATTGATTAATTGTTACGAAATCTGGACAAACAAATAGGACCAATTTAATATTGGTCACGTGAAGGGCTGAGATTAGAGTCTGCCCAATCAGATGTAACCACTATAATTACACCTTATTTTTCATTTTTTTTTTTTGTTATATTCACATTTACACCACATTTTAAAGCAATTATTCTTACACCATTGCCCCAAAAGTCATTAGAATTTCATTTCAAACCCTCAACTTATGGTTTGTTACGTGATTTTAAATTAAAATCAACACAATCTGACTTACATAGTTTCTAATAAAAATATAATTCAAAATACTATTTAAATAAAAATTCAAACTACAATCAAACAAACTCTTAATTTGGACCAAAAAAAAAAAGAAAAATAAATAAATTAAATTATATATTCATTATACTAATAATTATAACATTCAAATTAATCTAGTCGATAAATCGAATTAATTCGACACATATAATGGTGGGTGGGACATAAAAAATCGAAGATGATTTAAAGTCCAAGTTGCCATGTTCCAAGGTTTTGTAAAGAGAAGACATCATCGAAGCTTTGGTAATTAATTTCCATATTCATTAGTTCTTCTTCTGGTTAGACATACAAAGTTGCATAGATTTTGGTCCCGAATTTCAAACCCTAATCGGATCGGAGATCGTTTACGAATGACACGATCGCAAATATTAATTAATGGTTGTTGGTCCACGCCACAAACAATTTTTATTTTTATTTTTATTTTTTTCACAATAATAATAACAATAGATGAACTTGATGAATTTTCATCCAAGGAATGTATTTATTGAGTTCCATACTTAAATTTTATATAATGGAACATACTAGATTTTTCTAAAAATAAATAAATAAGAGAGTATTAAGAGAATAAATATATTTTTATTTTTATTTCATTTAAAGAATTAATATATAGCTACTTTTGTAAAATGAAACCAAACAAAAATTTAAGAGAAAAAATGTTATAAGCCTTTCTGTGAAACATTGCACTTTATTCTAAATTTAGGGTGTAGTTTTATTTTATTTTTTCAATTATATATGTCAAGAGACTGTGAAAATGACTGCAAAAAAATGGTTATTAATAAATAGAGGAGATCCGGTGCTGAATGAACCTCATTAAAATTAATTTACACGATTATAATAATAATAAAATTTAATTATATGAAATAAAATAATTAAGTTTCATGCCGTTCAGCATTCATGCTGAACAATTTGATTCAGCATCTGATCTCACTTCATTAATAAAATCGAAATAATTTAAATTTAGGGAAGTTTATATATATATATATCTAAATAAAAATATTTGTGGAAAATGACAACATTTTGTGTATCATTTTCAGTTGCTACAATTGTTATTAATTTGATCAAATTAGGAATGTTCTCCCTGGTCTACTTAGTGTATAATTTTGGAAAAATTTAAATGATTAAGTAGTTAAATACTATAATGATTACAAATAATTTAATGTTAACAGCCATGGAAAGAATGAATGGTGTCATGTAGATTTATGACAAAATTAATTATTGTATAAAAGGGACCACTGGAGGAATTAAATTGAAGAATTTTTGGAAATATACACACATATATATATATATATAATATAATATAAATATAAATAAAAAGTGCATAAAGCCCTTTTTTAATTTTAAGATGAGGTGGTCCTGTTTTGATGAATGATAGGGTTTTCTTAAAATGGATGCATATCTATGTTGTTAAATTTTAAGATCCTGAAAATTGCAATTAATTACATTACAATATGAAGGCATGTTCTATTATTTGATTAAATTATATTTACAATGCTTATTATTATTATTATTTTGATGACGTGTGAATCCGCAACGATTACCTGAGAATAGGCACCTGGTAAACCTCTGACCGAACCTAATACCCTGCAAACCAGATCCGACGGGAAAGTCACATTAGGCGAACTATGTGTATCAAGTGACCTGAAGCGTTTAGGGTTTGAACTCGTGACCTCGCAGTCACAAGTCTACCCCTGATACAATGCTTATTATTGATTTGCCTTTGTCATCACATGATTTTTTTTTGTTCTAATAAAAACAATATACAATTTCAAATAACACCATATGATGTCTTATTGAATTTGTTGTATTGACACATATTTTGTAATGAAATTAATAATAGTATGTATTTTATAAATTATTGTTGTGCAGTGTCGATTCATATATTGTATTTATATTTATATTAAGTCAATGCAATTTTTTTTGTTGTTTATTGATTTTTTATATACCGCCTATTAATATTTAACGTATTGTTGTGTCATACTTTCTTCGACTGTCAAATTTATTTATATATTTTTTCCTTTGTTTATTAAATTTACTCAATTACTATATTAAGAAAAAAGTCAAAAAATCAATATTTAGTTATTATTTTTGATTTAATACTTATTTATAATAAATATAATACATTTTGTCTGTTCAATTTTTTAGTAATTTAATAATAAAATATTTATCTTTCTTAATCTTTGCATCAGCTCCAAATGAACTAATTTTTGGGTCCGGAGAAAGTACCAAATAATTATATTCGACACAAATATTATTCCTAACACAAAAGTACATATATCACATATATATATATATATTATCGAATTTAATTTGTAGTAAATAGTAAACATGGACGGGCACTGAAGAAAAAGATAAGTTCCACTATATTTTAACTTTGAAAGTTGAACAATAATAATAATAATAATAATAATGATTATTCATTAGATTGCATAATTTTGTGACCCTTCATTATCACATTTAATTTTACAGATCCTCCACAACTTACCAATCAACCCCACAAATCCAATCCAATTATTATTTATTACAAGGACTGCTGCCATGCCTATGGTGGTTGGGTTCGGGGTGGGGGTGGGGGTGGGGGTCTGAACCACCCCCCACCTCCACAATACTATTTTAATAACATTTGGACAAATATACTAACATCATAAGCCAAAAATAATAATAATAATAATTTATAACTAACTTGGCAATTATTTATTTACCTTAAACATGCCTAATAGATTAATGACCTGAAAAATATTTTTAACATTGCATTTGCCAAACATGCATAGGTAAATAAGCAAATTGTTGGCTGATGACAGTTTTGTAATTTACACTACATAATGCTGGATTTAGAAATTAATAAAAATAAAGACAGTGGATAAATATTAATTGAATTAAATTACATTAATAATACCAAAATAAAATAGATGTGATTTAATTCAAATGCTAAATTAAACATATAAAAATAAATTAAATGCAAAGATTCTTCCCCATGGTTGGATAAGGATTAACAATAATCTGAATAAAATAAAAGGTGCAGGAATACTGAAAGTAGATTTGACGTGTATATTTAAAGCAATAGTAACCCTATAAATTAGTTAGGTAGTCAATATATAAATAAATTAAAATAATGTGCATATTTTATTATTTTTTTATTTTTTTAAAATAGTAGTATGATATTTCTATACTTTCTGCTTCTGCAACACAGACAAACAGTCCCCCACAGAAATGGCGAGTATTGGAAAAATAATAAAGAAATGAGAAAGATCATTATTATAGGTATTCGTGTTGGGATCAGAGCTCAGAGACAACAGTTAATTAATAATTAATTAATGAAAACGAAGATTAAAGATTAATTAATTAGTTAATTAAAAGATAAAAAATTTAATCTAATTAATAAACAGAATCAAGAAAACTAACAGTTGCAGCAGCGGCAGATCAGATCAGCTTCCACATGTCGACGTTTTACGCTTTTTCTCTAAAACTTTTGATTTCTTTAATCGGAAGTTCATCACGAAGAAGACGAAGTGCCGTTTGTACCGAGAGCTTGACCGGTTGTACTCTCGTGCCCGCCGTTATCCGCGGAGGCGCCGGAGGTCGGTGGGGTGGAGATTCCGGCGGCTGATTGCGACGGCGGCTCTTTTTTTCCGGCGTTCTTGTTGTTGTGCATCCATACTTTGAAAACCCCTTTGTCGACGCCGATTTCCGACAGGAAATCGACCGTTGCGTCTTCCTCGGCTTTTTGCATTTTCCATCCGATCTTTTCTGCGAATTCTTGCATTCTGTCCTTTTGATTTTGGGTGAATTTCGTGCGGTAGCGTTTCCGGTGGCCGGAGCTGTTTACCGGTGCGGCAGCGGAGGTGGTGATGTTGCAGTCGGAGGGTAGGCTCGACAAGCCGTGGCTGAGAGCCAGCAGCATGTGCGGCGCCGACGGGTAGTACGAGGAGGAGATCGGCGGGGGGGAGGGGGAATTGTTGGGGCTCGCGGCGCGGCGCGGCGGCGGGAGCGGGTGGTGGCGGTGGTGGGGCTGATATTCGAGGGCGGGGACGGCGGAGGACGGCGGGAGGGGGAGCGGGAGCGGGAGCGGTATCGGCGGCGGCGGCGGCTCGTCCGGCTCGCGGCGGTGGAAATTGCGGTGGCATCCGCAAGCCGCGCATTTGAGCGTGGTCGGCTCGGCTGGGTTGGAGTTCGGCGCCGGCATGAATTCGCCGCAGCCGTCGACGGCGTGGCCGCCGATGGCGGCGGCGTGGTTTTTCAAACATTCTTTGTAGGTTACGACGACGGGGTGGTTAATCTGCAGGCGCTTGAAGGCGCCGTTAGTTAACGGCGGCGGCTGGATTCTGGTCGGCGTCTCGGATTCGGCTTCGGGTGTTTTGACGACGGAGCTGGCGAGGTCCATGGACATGGATTATTAGTTTATTACCTATTAGAGAAGCAGGGCTAGGGCTGTTGTCTGAAAAGGAATTGAAGTTTCAGACATGGGCAAAATAGGGAAGAAAAGAGAATAATAGTTTTGGTCTAATTGGTTAGAGTGATGATGATGATGATGATAAAGATCTGGGTTATGTGGCTGTCCTCGTTAACTAACCACTTGGATTGGTTTTTGAAACAAAAAATTTAACCTGGGTTGCTGTTGTTATGTTATCTGGTTAGTGTCCGTGGTTACCTTAGCCTTAGCCTTGCCTGGGTTTGGTTGGGTTGGTTAGGTGCTTGTAATGTAATGTTTTTGTTTTTTTTTTATAAAAATTTAGAAAAAAATAAATTTAAATTTGATATTAAAATATATTTTTAAAAAATACAAAATTCAAATAATAAAATATGAAATTTGGAGACACTTAAGTTTTTTTAAGCTTGGGACCTTTTGGGTCATGTGAATTGGGGGAGGAGATCCGTAGAGATTCATCACGGAGCAATCTGAACCGTTGATCAAGTGGAGCCCACTTCTTCAACGGTCGTGACCTGGGCGCTTCGCTTTCGTCTGACATTTGACTTGATCAATTTTTTTATTAATTAACATTCCCCCCAGCTATTTATTTTTTATTGTTTATTTCATTTCACATTTTTAGATCATCATACAAGATTGTATTTATTCCTTCCTCCGTCCAATTTTTATTTTCTTCCTCGTCCAATTTTTATTGTCTTAAAGTATATTTATACAATTTTTTAGGTAATTGTCTTTTTGTTATAAATTGATAAATTTACCCTTAAATGTATAATAGAAATTAAAAGTAATAAATGAATGAAAGGTAAAAATATAAAATTTGTGTTTAAAAAAAAAATCGGACAATAGTTGTTGAACCTCCCAAATAGAAAAGTAGGATATTAGTTTGTAGACGGAGGGAGTACTATATTTTTGTGATGTTACGATCCTTCGAATTTGAAAATTTTTTAATACAAATTATATTTTTCTGAAAAGATAAATTAGTGCTCTCTCTCCCAAACACCCTGCAACATTTCTTTTTTTGTTTGTCCCAAACTCACTGCAACATTTCTAAATTTAAAAATAATTAATAATATTTATATATATATATATATTAATATACGCTTCACTTTATCCCTCACATCACTCAAATAAAAAATAATAATAAAAAATTATTTTTCTTTTCAATCACATCACTTAATATCCAAATTATCGCAAATTACCATACTTAATACTCTCCATCTAAATTTTTGTGCCAAACACAAATATTACATGATATTTGAAAACGAGAGAGTACATTTTTTCTTTACTTTTTTAACAGGACCTTCCGAAAATGAAAATCAAACAAACTCTGTATATACTCAGTACAAACATGTGTGCATGCATGCAATACGTACAATAGTTAATTAAATTCACCTATATCCGTATATCTCAACCACGGCCAAGCTGGAAATTTCATTTTGGTTAATTATTCTAAAAGCTTTCTTTTTTTTCTTTTTTTTTATATTTTAGAAAGTAAAAATAAAATATATATATATGTGTACATAGAGATTTACCACCAGAATTCAAAATTTAAATATTGTTGGTCGTATAATGTTAGTGTGAAGCGCTTTTTGTCGGATTCCTTCCTCCATGAGTGGAGTCGGGAACTGCACGCACTGTAGGAATGACAGTTTTGTCGTCTAGTGAATCCCAAGCTGGATGTTTATCCGTCAATTAAATACGGTTTAACTCTTCTTACAACCCCTCCTTAATTCCAACCAAACAAAATAAATAAATAAATACAAAATATTAGTGTAAGAATCCCTCTTAATAATATGTAGCCACGTGTCTCAAAAATAGCCTCATGCTCCAACACGTGTGTTCTCTTATAATTTTCAGCCGTAAGTTACCAGCCACGTTTAGCTATTAAATACTCCCTCTGCCCCAAACTTCCTGTAATATTTTGCTTTAAATACTATTGCAATATTTTTAAAATAAGAAATAATTAATTATACTTAATTTCTACTTTATATTTTATCCATCATCCGAATAAAAAAATAAAATATATATTTATCTCTCTATTATATTATCTAATTTTTAAATTATTCTATTTAATATTACACATTTAAAAACCCGTGCCCAAATATTGGGCCTTGTTTGGAACGGATGGAGTACTTTTTTCCATCTACATAATTTGTTCATATTTTTTATTTTTATTAATCTTATATAATTTGTTAATTTTTTAAATATGATTATACATTTTAATTTTATTTTAATTTTTTTAATTTTAATTAAATTATTTTAATTATTTTAATTTTAATTTATAATTATTTTACTATTATATTTTTTAATTATTTATTAATTATATTTTACTTTTATTTTCGTATCTACGCGTAATCGATGATTAATCTAAACTAAATTAGAAGCACATTTGCGAAAATTTACTTTCCACAGTAATAAATATTCTTTTAATACTTCATATGTCTCAAAAGCATAGTTTTATTATATTGGAATTGAGATTTAAAAAATATTAATATTATATTAATAGTCGGTAAAAATATAGATAAATAACTTTTTTGCCTCTGAATATATTAGTGTAAAAAGTAGTGATATTTGTGTAATAATAATGAAAAAATAGAGATAGTTTTATGGTGATATAATCATTTATGAAAATTAAGCTATTATTTTGAAACGGATAAAAATGATAAACAAAACTATTATATTGGGTCGAATTCCATAAAATAATATTTTTCTTAGAAAATGTGGAATCAGTTCGGAGGTGTGATTAGGTGCATCGCGGTGCAGGAATGCAATTAATATCAGCCGTAGATGAAAAGTTTTTGATGAGGTCATCCAAACAGTCGATGCCACGCACAGGTTAATATTAATGCGTGTGTATATTAACTAACGAGCTCCCCAACTCGACATTAATGCAGAATTTAACTAATTAAATTATTTTAATATGAAATTATAGATAAAAATAAATAAATAAATCTTTTATATAATATTTTAAAAATAAACAAACAGGAAACTTGACTCTATCTCTAAAATTTGAAATCCAAGCAAGTAGCTATTGAAATTAAAAATAAAGGGACGTCAAATATTTATATTGAAATTATTTGTTCACTTATTTTTTTGGTAGATATATTTTGTATATTAGGTATAGAAAATTTTATTAGTAACATAAAAAATAATAAGTATTTATATTGAAGCATAATTTGTTTTTTTAATTTTTCGGACGAATATATTTTTTATATTAGGTATAGAGAATTTTGTTAATAACATACAAAATAATACTCCCTCCGTCCAAACAAGAAGTATACATTTATTTTTTACACGTAGTTTAAGAAATATAGTATTTTAATTATAATGAGTAGATAAAAGTAGTGTAATGACATTTTAGTCCTTACTTTTTGATATAAAAGTAATGATGTGATGTAAAATAAGGATATTTGTGAAAAGAAGTGGAGTATTTAATGAAATGGTTATTTTGTGATTGGACGTCCCATAAATATGTATACTTTGTAGCTGGACGGATGGAGTATATACTGTTAAATAGTTTTTTTTTTTTTTTTTTTTTTTTTTTTTTTTTTTTTTTTAATGAATGTGTAAAGTTATACTCCATATGTCCCTAATTAGGTGGATCATTTGGAGATTTGTAGCATAATAAGAAATAATAGTAGTAGTATTTTAGAAGTTAGTGGAAGTGTGTAAAAATTTTTGATATTTTTGCAATTTGACTTTATGTATAAGATAATTGTATGTGTACTGATATATTTATAATTTAAGTAAAATTTAACGATATTTTAGTATTAGTTATTATTACTTTTTCCAAAAGATGAAATAAATATCTTGAGTGGAACATATGAAAATAATAAAAAAAATATTTTGAATTGGAGTGAGAAAGTATATTATCCTAATATGTATATATTGTATTTTTTAAATAATAAGAAACTTCATGGTAATAGTGATTTTGATTCAAAATAAAAACTAAACACACAAATTATCAGAGAATTAATTAATAAATATTATGGGCCTAAATATAGTTAATTATATATCATTTGTATATTTTAAAATATGGGCCCACCAGTACACAACGGGCTACCAACCAAAGCCCACAGAAGCCCATAAGTGGGTAGCACTAACAGCCAACCAATTATTTTCCAGACAATTAATTAATATTTGAATTATTAGATTGGTTATTAAACTGATGAGGATTGAAGATAATTAAATACGATGAGATGAATCCACATCACTTCTTGTCTGAAGGTTGGAGGAATCATTTTTGTCAGCAGCTGCGACTTGACACTTGAAAATACCATTCTTTGATTTATTAATTCACAATCCAATATTATTATTAATAATAATACATTTTGTCATATTGTCATAATTTTATGTTTGATGCCCATTTGTAATCCATAATTTTTTTAATTTGTAATCCATACTTATATATATATATATATCTGGATAAACATTCGATCGAATATAATATACCCTGATCTATATATGTTTTTTTTTGTATTAAGCTTCATAGTATATTAACTTTTATGGAGAATGTCGGGTCTGTTTATTTTGCATTTTGATTTGAAATAAAACTTTGTTATGTAAAATATATAAAACTATGAAGGTAATATAAAAACAATGAGTGTATATAATATATATATTTTTTAAAAAATGTATTAAATATTTTTGATATAATAACACATCCGTAGAATTCTAATTTTATAAAACAAACAAATATTTACAATGAAATCTAAGGGCTTGTTTTTGTCCTTTTCTATACCGTCGACCTAAAGGGGTCGGGATTCAAACCCATAACCTCATAGTCACACGTTCACTCCCCACACTATCAAACCATCCTTTACGGACTAAGATTATGGACTTGTTTGATTGTTGGTTTTGTAGCTCAAAATTAATATATTGAGGTATTGATGTCTTCAATCAAATAATTTTCATTGATACAATTTTCAATTAACATTACAAAAATATAATATATATACAATATATACTATATTATAATATTATTTTTTAAAAAAATTAACAATTCAATACAAAATATTATTTTTTTTATATTATAAACATAATTTCTAATACTTTATGTATATAACACTTCAAACTAAAATATTAAACAAACACACTCATTGTTTGGTGATAATTGTATTACGATATCTATCAGGTTGTTTAGTTTGGGTGATGCTATTGTGTTGATATACAAAATCCAACTTCAACATTGACAATACATGATATAAG